TGGTGATTTCCATTGGTTGTTTAGTTGGCTTAACGTTGGTTTTATTGAGTTGACATGAATGACAAGTCCTAATGTACATTCTGATGTCACTTTTCATGTTTGACCAAACATATCTCTTTTTGATTTTCGAATAAGTCTTGTTGAATCCATAATGACCAGATAATTTGCTGTTGTGACATTCTTCGAGAATGATTTTGATTTCTTCTTGATTTTTAGGAGTGATTTTAGCAGTATTGTAAATTTTAATTTCATTCCTTGGGAAGATGAATTTTAACATTTCATTCAATTGAGTGGACTTTATGTTTGTAGCCTTATCAGGGGGAATAAGAGTGAAGCTTTGGGTGTCAATTGAGTCTTTCAGGGTCATGAGACAGTCGAAGATGTTTTTGTACTCGATTTTATCGAAGTGTAGATAAAAGGGATAGAGCAAGATATTCCGTTCAGACTGGATTTTAATAGTGTGGTGTCGAAGTAGGATTTTACGTAATCGAAATATTGATTGTTTTTTATCGAGCTCTTCGGACCAGAGCATAACGAGTCGATCTTGGATCTTCGATTTTCTTTTTCAAATTCAATGACTTCTTCATTTGTGTAATGGAATTTAATATAATTTTGGTAAGTTTTGTTAGACTTATGAGTAACGAAAACGTTAGGAGGAGGAGTTTGAACTTCAGTGTGATTTGAATCTTCAGGAAAAAGTTTTGATAAACCATCTGCGTTAGAATTAATTCTACCAGGTTTATATTTGATAATTTACTGATACTCATTGAGGCGGAGTCGCCATCGTACGAGATTAGATGTTGGATTTTTGCAATTGAATAGCCACGTGGGGGCTTTATAATCTGTGAAAATTATGAAGGTCCTTCCAAAGAGGTAAGACCTGAATTTAGCAACGGAATCGACAATAGCTAGTACTCTTTTTCTGTGGTTGAAATATTTTGCTCTGTGGGATTGAGAGTTCTCGAGTAATAAGGGATAGGTAAGTCTTTACTGTCGATGATTTGAGATAGGACGCCACCGATGCCTACGTTCGATGCGTCACAGGTCAATGTGAAGGGTAATGAAAACTTCGGGTACTGTAATAAAGGTTCATTTATGAGGGTATCTTTCAGAGTTTGAAAAGCATTTTGTTGTTCTGTTTTCCATTGAAATTCTGTGTCTTTCATTAATAAACTTGTGAGTGGTTTGGCAATGCTAGCAAAATCTTCAGTGAATTTCCTGTAATAACCGGTCATACCTAGAAACATTTTAATGTGCTTTGATTCTTGGGCACAGAGATTTGTTTTATGGCTGACACTTTGTCAGGATTTGGTTTTACACTGTCGCGTGTAATTATGTGGCCTAAATATTGACAAGAGTCTTTTAGAAACTCGCATGTGTCGGGTTGGAGTTTGAGGGTATTTCCCCTGAGTCGATTGAAGACGTTGATGAGTTTTTCGTTATGATCATCGAGACTTGAACCGTAGATGTCGTCAACAATGTCGTCAAGATACACGAAATTGTTTGTTATTTAAACCGGATAAGACATTATTCATTATCCCTTGGAATGTCGCGGGCGCGTTTTTTAAACTGAAGGGCATGCCATTCCATTCCCAATGACCTTCAGGGGTCGAGAAGGCTGTCTTGGGTTTGTCTTCATGTTTTATGGGGATCTGGTGGCAGCCACTGGCTAGATTGAGAGTGGTAAAAAATTGAGAATCACCGAGTTGGTCAAGAATATCTTCGATATTGGGAAGTAGATACGCGTCACCGATCGTTTTATCGTTTAATGGCCTGTAATCAATGACCATTCGCCATTTCTTTTCACCGGATGCATCTGATTTTTTAGGGACAATTATAAGAGGGTTAGACCAAGGGCTAGTCGAAGGTCGAATGCTTCCTTGAGCATGTAATTTGTCGGGTTGATTCACTTCTTTTTTATGAATCTGTGGGTACCGATAGGCTTTTGTGTAAATTGGGGTATCATCGGTAGTTTTAATTTCGCATGTGGCTGCACTTGTTTTAGTCAAAGGATCTCCGGGGAGATGGAAAATGTCTTGAAAATCATGGCAGATTTTAGTGATGGATTCTTTTTGTTCTTTATTAGTGTGGGAGAGATTTTGATTGCGAAGATTAATACGATCTTGGAGATTGTTTTGATCGACTTCTCCCATGTGGAATACCGATGCTTGGATAGGCATTGGCTCGATTTTGAATTGAGGTTTGGGAAATTTTTTTTTCCAAAGATAGATTCACAATTGTAATTAGGGCTTGATCTGAATTGTCGATTTTAACAATCGCGTTTGCTATTAAGAGTGAATCGTCGGTGTTCACTTTTTGACTGGGAATTATTTCTTCATTTAATTTGTGGGGACTAATGACTTGAACGTTCATAATCATTTCTGTCCTCGGCTGAATTACTACGTATGTGTTGGATTGTTGAGGTGTGTTTGTGAGAATGGGGATTGATGTGGACAATGATTCGATCAGAAAAGTTGACTCGTGAATGATAGGAATGCATTGATGTTTTTTAATGAAGTCTCTTCCGATGAGACCGTCGAATGGACAATTTGTTTGATTATCAATGACTTGGAAACCTGATTTAACGATTTTATCACCGATTGAAAATTCAAGATTAGTTTCACCTTTTGTTAAAATTGGGGTATCGCGAGTCAGTCCAGTTAGCATGATCTGTTGGGAGTATGTGATAGAGTACTGTGATAAGCTAGAAGCTTTTACCAATGATACAGCTGCATCATTGTCAATGAGGAGTTTAAGAGATTTGTCTGAATTTTTGGAAAATTGACAATTGAATCTGATATAATCTAAATCACTATTGCCTGAATCAAAAAATATGTATGCTCGCATGTTTTCATTTAAATCTTGATAAATTTTTATTGATGGATCGACAAATTTGACATCTGATTCTCGATTGAATCGGGTGGATTGTGATTGAGGCTCGTTGCCTGAAAATTTTGAGTCCGGAAGTGGACTGGGCGATAAGAAATTTGAGAAGGCTTCGGTGCCTGGTTTTGAGATTTTCTCTGATATGCGCGTTCGTGTTTGATGCAAACTGAGATGTCATGACCAATTTCTGTGTAGTATCTGCATTGGACATTTGAATTTTGGATATTTTGGAAGTGATTTTGATAAGGATTTTCGTGAATTTTATTTTGATTTGAGCTCTGGGAATTTTGATTTTGATTTGATTGATTCCGAGGGTTAAATTGTCTCGGTTGAGTGAAGTGAATGGGCTTGGACATTCTGGTTGTCGACGCATTTTGATTTTTATTGAAGAAACACTCGTGTGTCACGTGATTTGATTTTTTGCATACTGCGCATTTTTGATTAGTGTAATTCGATTGATTCCCATAGTTGATTGGGTGAAATACTCTTTCTTCCGTAATTGCAGCAGTAAGGGCTTGATTGATCGTTTTGAGATCTCGATACCGAAGTAATTGAGAGATGTGGGGAAGTGTGTGATAAACGAAACGATTGAGAGTCATGTCCGTAATCATTGTGATACGACCTGGCAGCAATGTCTGGTCTGATTCTTCAGCATAAATAACCACGAGAAGTTTAGAAGAGACTTCTTCGAGTTTTTGAAAAAATTCAGTCACGCTTTCATTACGATTTTGCTTCATTGAATTGATTTCCTCGAGTAATTAATCAAAAGACTTTTTATCTTGAAATAGACTCATTGAGAGTTCAGAAATTTCTTTCCAAGTTGTGAGATGACAATGAATATCAATTTGATTTTTTGCTTTGCCCGATATTTTTCTCTTAATGAATGGAATTAAAAGTTTTTTTGCGAATTTGTAGCAATCTCCATTGCTTGATCAACTCCTTTGATAAAACTACGAATTTCAAAATGATTACCATCGAATTTTTCTGGCAATAATTTAATTAAGAGCTCAGTGGATAGTCTTGGAATTTTTAAAGCTGGTAAATTGAGGGAATTCTGTGAATTTTCACCCGTTGTTTCGTCCTTTTTGATAGGATCTGGAGCCATTTTAATTTTTTTTTTTTTTGAAAGAGGAAGGAAGGAAGAAGGATTCGAATTGTCAGAAGAGTAACCAAAATTTCAGTACTTACAGTCACTGCAGATAGTTTCCACAAACGGTGCCGGAGTTGCTAATTCCAGGATTATCAACCAGCGTGTAGTTCTTTTCTCGTGAAGCCGCCTAATTTTAGTCTCATTTTCCGTTCTCCAATCTCAACTTGAAAGTTGTCACTTGAATTCCAGGATGAATATAAATTCACAATTGCACTGTTGCACAAGTAATGGAGAATCCCGATCCTCGTCGCCAAATTTTTGTTGAATTCCGGATTGAAGAAATAAATTACTTCAAATTAAACACGAAATCTTTATTCTTAGAGACTTAAACACAAGTACAATATTAGTAACTTTGGATATCTTCCTGAACAGATGTTACTTCCTTGAGTGTTGGAATAATTATGATGTCGTTGGAGTACAGAGATGTTTTACTTAGAGTCCTCTGAGGGTAGATAGTAGTGGTTGGAGAAACTGAAGGGAGAAAGGCCCAAGGTGAGTGATTGGTTAGTTTAGGTGAGGGATGACCCTTGAGGGTTGGACTAACGGCGGCACGGGGGAGGTATGACTCGATGAGGAGTTCTAGGAATCGAGGCACGGGAAAGTACCGGATTAGAGACCTGAGGTACGGGACAGGAGCGAGGAATAATGAAACAATTTAGAAGGTTTCGAAAAGAAAAGGATAATAAAACCTTTCGTCTGGGTTCTTGGAGTTTTCGGGATTGAAATAATAAAACCGTAATAAAATATTTGAGGGAAAAGGATCTCTAGAATCGAAATATTTGGTGGACGTCTAGACAGGGAAGTTAGGTTTTGGGAAAGTATTTCTAGTAAAATAGTGGGTATACAACATTGCATAGAGAAAAAAAACCCTCAATACGTGGTGTTCCTTAAAATTTCATTTATTTATTATTATCGTAAAGAATTTAGAGAATAACTTTTTTTTTATATTAGAGTGAGTCATCAATCAAGCAGATTTGGCGCTTTCGATCCATTCCAGGAATGAGTAAACTCTGGTATAAACGTCTGGATATCCGATTCCACATGATGGCGAAAAGGAGACAATACCGATTACTTGGTAGTTATAGACCAGAGGACTACCACTGTCGCCCTAAAATTTTGTTAGTATTAGTTTAAGAGTAGAATACATGATCTTTTATTTTCTAATGCAATGATCTTTTTTCGGAAACATCGTTGCAAATTTTTGAGAAGCAGTGCTTACATTGCAAAAGCCGCGATCTATCCCATCAAATCCACAGATTTGATCGTCGAAGACTCTTCCGTTCTTCTTATTGCACTCCTCATTAGTAAGAACAGATACGTCAGATTTTTTTAGAATAACAGTACTTTCACCTAATAATCCCCTTGTAAGCAATCCAAATCCAGAAAGCTGGGCTTGGAATGTACGAGTAGTCACTGAACTTGGTAAGTCAATCTTCTGCTGAGTTCTGCTGAACCTTATCCTATCTGTAAGCTAATGATTTAATTTACTATAATGATTATTCTGAATTAACTATTTGTGTCTTCATTTTACGATGAAATATTGTACAAGAAAAACTTTTTCCCAAATCTGCGTTACATAGAGGATATAGAGAATGCGCAATCTAGTTATAATACGTCTATGGTTGATATTCACATTCTCGCTATTCACATTTGGGATATCCGGACATTGAAATTTATAGATGGCACTATTAATCAGACATGATTAATAGTGCCAAGATAGTTTGCGAGATTCAAATTATTGTTGAAAATCATTTGAATAGCTCTAAAAGTTCAAAATCTACCGAAAATAAAAGAATAAACAAGTCTGAAATACAATGGACAAGGAGGACGAAAAACAACTTCGCGAGCGCGAGAAAAAACGTTACAAAAATAATAAATGTCAAGTACTTGGATTTTGTTCTGATAATTTACAGCTTTCCAAAATTCTCTCTGAGTAAACACTTTCTTGAAAATCCAAAATTTTGAGAGGAAAATAAATTCAACGGTCACGGTCCCAAGTCGCAAAATCTCAGTTCTGTTTATTTCGAAAATTTCTCTGTTTCACGTAATCAACATGTGTGGGCTCCCCTTTGTTCATTGTATCGCTGGAGTGAGGGGCCTAAAATCCTCCGAGAGGAAAAACTTGCGACGTAACACGCTCCCCTTTTTCCCCGTTTTTGCTTCGCCGTTTTCCCTTGGGTTTCACTTTTCCCTTTCCCCTAGGTTAGGTTTGCGTGCGCAACTTTTGGTCTGATGGGGGTTGTTGGACCCAACCCTTGAAGTTAAGTTTAAGTGTAGGTCGGTTCCATCATGGCAGTTCTACGATAAACCTTCAGCTTCTCTCCGCAATTAGACATTCTCAGGTAATATCTTGAAAGTTTTTCAAGTGTTATAAAATTTATTTGTAGTGCAAAGGTCAAAAAGTTCGGAGTTGGAATATCCTGAATGAAAGTGCAATTGTGCTCTCTAAGCACTAGTTTATTGGATTTATTTCGAGTAACCCCTATAGTCCAATCATCCTGATCATCAACGAGTTAACTTCGATGGAGTCCTCATCAGAGGTTTAGCGGCTAACGAATCCAGATTTCGAGTTTGGCGCTAAATAATTAGAAAGGCACCATTGTCCTTCTAGTAAGTTCTATAGGACATAACACATTATAAAGTCGGAGAATCAGGTTGCAACGTTGGCAGCGCCGGCCCAACTGAGCTTCGCTGCTCACATCCAACCTCGAGGTGTTGCCACCAGTGCATTTGAAAGTGGGTTGTGATGTTGTTATGGAGAACCACGGGAAACATTTTTTTCTCACTTTAAATCGGGACGATCACGATAACCGGGGCGACAAATTTTGACCATCTGTTTCGATGTATTTTTGCCCAAGAAAACCGAGAAAAATACTTTAAAAAATCGATCTCGAGTATTTATTGAGATATTCATCATTTTATGTATCATTTTAGCAGAAAGTTGTCATTTTCTTGACATTATCATGCGTAACAAAACGAGAATTCAATTCTTGAATACATGCATATATTCCTGCAATTTTTCCTGGATGTTTTCTGAGATATTTTCATACACAAAAATATCATAAAATATGACATGAATAGGAAAAAATGCAGATAATGATATCAAATGAAGTAAAAAACTAATATTCCACATCCAAAAATTTACTAAATTAAAACCAACTAACCACAAAATTTCGTGAAATAAAATTTTTAGATCATGTCCGTATTTTCGTGTGTATATATATATGTGACAATTTTTTTCTTTATTATTTGCTCATGAATTGATGAGAATTAATCTTTTCCAATGTTTTCAATGGAAATTAATCTTCCGAATGGAAGCTTAATTAGACTATCCGAATCCGAATATGCGATTTTTAGATGATGTCTGTATGTGTATGTGATCTTTTCTTTCAATTTTTTTTTCAAATTTTCATAGAGGGGATCTATCAATTTTCATGAATTTTCTCATGTTCCTCCCATGGTGCTTAAAAAATTCTTATTAAAACGGAATTAATCGTGGCTGAAAAAATCGGTATCAATGCCCTCTTGATTCTATCAAAATATGATGGGAATCCCACCATTCATTGTTGAATTATTACCTATTGTTTATGCGAAAAAATCGGTTATTTTATCATTACTAAAAAATTCATCCTAATATTAATTACACTGTTAGAAATTTCTTGGAATTTACGTCACAATATCATGCGAATTTTCAATGTTGTGAGTTTGAATTCAATTTCAAATGAAAACGTTCAATAAATTTCTCATTCATCTTGAAAATTCAAGAATAGTATATTGTGCAACCATTGCATAAAGTAGTACTTTTTCGCACGATGTGTGATTGTCTGCAAGCGTCGATCACACCAGGTGAAAAAGATTACACGCACTTGTTCCACATACTATTTTTTGCAATACCTGTAAGAAAAGTTCGCCCACGCGGGGGGGAAAAGCATACATGGGATAAATGAATCAATTGCAACTGAACAGCGATGATGAAGTATTTGTAACGAAGTCCAAGAATAATGGTCAAGAGTGTGGGGGGTCCAGGGGCGAAGCCCCGGTGGGCACCAGGGGCGAAGCCCCGATGAGGTCCAGGGTTCAATCCCCGGCGGGGGGTTGGGGGGCTAGAGCCCCCCATTCAAGAAAGAAAATATTCATTTGAAAAAAAAATTACTTTAATGATATTAATTATTAGATTTGACGAAATTTTACGATAATCGAATCTCATAAAGAGGAAATTTGCTGTTCACAATCATAGTTATTAATTCACAGCTGGGAAAAGTTTTCAAGTTAGACACAGCCCGGTGGCTTGGCGTAGTAGGTAAGTTCGTTGCCTCACATGCGAAAGGTTTTGGGTTCAAATCCCGGCCGGGTAGAACGGTGCGATCTAACCATTTAAAGTCTAGATCATCATCGCAGTATACCCTAACCGGGCCGAAGCGATGTAAAATAACGATAAAAAAAAGTTAGACACAATTGTTAGATGGAAAAATTGATGAATTATATGCTCGAAACTCGAAATGAACTAGCAGCAAATTTAAGGAAGTGCAAATGAATAATCAATGAATTTAAGGCCCCGGGTGGATTATCTTTCGAAGGTTATCTCGATTGTTTTTCCACTTTTGTAATGTGAAATTTATCACAATTTCCATTGTATTTTACATCACGCAAGAGTCCCTAAAAACTATAATTGTACAATCCAAAAAAGTAGAAAAAAACGGAAAATTTTCAGAGAGTGTTTTTAATAAAGATTAAAAAATAAGTCCCATAGAGAGGAAATACTGAATGGCTAATTTATTATAGTAACTAACGGTCTGGCAGCCATTGACTACTGTGACAAATGACGACTTAACAGCCATTGGATACATCCAATTATTAAGTTACAATTTACTCCCTATTGGGTTTATTTCCTAATATTATGCAAAAACGCTCTTTGAAAATGTTCAGCTTTTTTTTTAACGTTTTTTTGATTGTACAATCATAATTTTTTAAAACTCCAGCACTATGTAAAACTGAATAGCAGTTGGAGATCATTTGAGATTATGAAAATAAAAGAAGCAATCAAGATCACATTCAAAAAGATAATTCACCCGAGCCTTAATTTGAATGATGATATGTTCTTTGAATTTTTTCTGTATATTATTATAATTTAGTCTATCCATATTTCAATATAACTGAATTTCATGTACCTTTGTCGTTGTTAAAAACTTCAAGCTTTTTCACTTCAAATTTCAAGAGTAATTTTGTAACAGTGTGGATCAAGTTGAAAGATAGTTATAATAACATCATTGCCTATCAAGTTACACAGTAAAGTCAAGGATTGTTTATATCAAAACCACTATTAAACTGAAGTATCAGTCCATTTTATTGGATACTTATTCATAGACTAACTCCTGACTAACTCCTGACTAAACCCTAATTAAATCTCGGCTGAATTTAAACTAAATCTTAATTGAGCTTGGATCGAATCCCGATTAAATCGCAATTGAACCTTGATTAAACCCTCACTGAGGCCAAATTCAAATATTAAGAAAACGAAAATGCAGAATCAGGGAAAATTACGATTCCTTTAACGCCACCATTTGACATATCTTTCCGATACTATTTTTCCTCGGGAATACAGGAAAAGTAAAAAAAATCCGTCAATTAGTTTTTGGTATATATGCATTTCAGTCCTTATTTTTCAGGATACAAACTTTTCCATTAAGATTTTTATAATTAAAGCACAAATTCACGCAGTAATATTCACACATTGAAATTCAATAATTACATTTATATGATACGTGCCTGTAACCGCATGGGTTTCAGTTGACTATAGTCAACTGAAACTCGAAATAACGCATCCCGAGCCACTCCTTTTTTTTTGTGTGACCCTTGTGACTATCGTGTATCTAAAAAATTTTCAGTCAAAAACGGATTTAACCAAGGCAGTGTCACCTTGGTGACCCTCATGACCCTGGCCACTCCTTTTTTTTATGTGACCCTTGTGATTTCCGTAATCCTTGGGACTTTTTTTGGGACCTTCAGTGACCTTACCTTGAATTGGGAAAGCACGCGATGCATAATCGGAAAATTCTTGCTTCAAATCCCGATCTACACTATCAAATTTTTTCAGTAAATTTTTCTTGCAAACTAATATTTTGAATAATCCCGGTTCCTCTCCTCCCTATTCCAAAATCCCATCCAACAATATCCTGTGAAGTCCCAAGATGTGGAAAAATGATACGGAATACATATATTAAATGGTAGTGCCAAATAAATCGTAATTATACCTGCCATTAAGTCGAATATAAAAGATGATAATGATAGCTATATTGATTGATTCGATTTTTATGATGATTATTGAAAATTTCGAATTTTTCATGAATTTCCCTGAAAGTGAACTTTCTGATAGTTTCTTCAACTGTGATGTTTCAAATTCATTCAAGTATATATTAATAACATTTTTTTATTAACATTTTATCGAAGGGCTGAGGAGAGAGACACAACTGTAAAAAAGACAATCGATTGTAGAGAAGAAATAGTATATTAGTATATTTCGTAACGAGTGCAAAAAAGTGTTTTTTGGTGGGTGGGAGGTTTATATCACGAGCCGAACGCGAGTGATATAATCCCACGAGCTAAAAAACATTTTTTCATGAGTTACGAACAATATTTTTCATCACAATGTGGCGGAAATTGGACTTTTAGGCACGCGGAGCGTGCCGAAAAGTTCACTTTTCGTCACAGCGTGATGATAAAAATAATATGAACAATGATGATAGTAACATTCAACTAAGTTGAAAATCTGACAAAATTGATTGAAATTTAATTTAATTTAATAAAGTGAGATAAACATAGAATTATACGTGATAAAAAGAATATATCAATCTAATCCTCTATCCTTTGATCCGTGCAAAGGACGTTGGTCCTGCTCCTACAGATTTTTTATTTCATGGACAATTTTTTAAAATCCTTATTCGATTCAGAACTATTTTTTTATAGCAATTTGATTGTGCACTATGGCCATTCATTCGACATTCTTGACTTGGCTTTATTTTTCATTTCTTTGTAGTTTTTAAAAATTTCGACTTTCCAGTAAAAACCAAACAAAACTTTTCCTTGGCGCATTTTTTTACAAAAACATTTGTTTTTTTTAGCGATTAAGATATTTTCCACAGAAATTCTTCGTCCTATAATTTCTTTTATTATCACGAAATTGAAGCAAAAAAATTGCAAATTAAAGCCGCGATAGATTATCTTTCGAGCGTTACCTCCATAGTTTTTTCACCTACAATATTTCACAATTTCGATTGGATTTTACATCAAACGGGAGAAATAACTCAATATTTTCAAAGAGCGTTTTCAATAATCATTAAGAAATTAGTCCGATGGAGAGGAAATTGTAAATGGATAATTTATTATGGCAACTAACGATTTGACTGCCATTGGCTACAGTGACAACTGATGACCCAGCGGTCATTAGATACAGTACATTATTAATTTGCAATTTCCTCTCCAGTGATTTCATTTCTAAATATTATTCAACAACACTCTTTGGAAATACTCATGCCAGTAGCCGAGTGGGGTAGATGCAATTCTATTGTACAGAAGGTTGTAATTTCGATCCCAAGTGGGACCGAATTTTTCAACTTGAGACTCCGAGGTTCGTGAGGTTGCTAATAGAGTAACCGCCATATAATGGCATGGGTTTTCTGTGGTTTCTTATGCGACTGCTATCTTCTAGAGTGCAAATGCGGTGCCGTGTAGAAACCACAGCTGCATACATAGGGTTGGATAGTGCCGCATGGGACTTGAAGGTCGTAAAAGCACTCTTTGAAAATTATGAGTTTTTTTCAATGTTTTCTTGATTCAACAGTCATAATTTTTGGAGACACCAGAGCGATGTAAAACTGAAGAGGAATTGCAGAACATTTCAGATTATCCAAATAAAAAAACAACCCAGATCACGTTCGAAAGACGATAGAAAATATCTTCATAGAATGAGTTGTTTAGAAAGTTCAAAATCTCCAGATTTTTCTTTCTATATATATATACATATGCACAGCGTACATATACGCTTCCATATACACTACATGTGGCTATCCTACTCGCCTCTTCTCTGAGAGGCCACTGCGTCAAATCGAAGGTGACTACGTACCTCTGGGTTTAACCCATCTTTTTGAAATGGGCGATTCCACAATTCTGGAGTTCAGGACGCTACGCACACCACACACGTTTCGCGATGTTAAAACCCAGACGTATTTAACCCGGAAGGACTATGTTTTTCGAGCGGAGGACCGAAAAATTTTCAAAAATCGAAGGCGACTACGTCTGTTTGATGTAGCGGAGGCCAGTTGTAATTGCGTGCAAAATCTATATATATATATATATGATATTTATTGAAAAGAACGTAGGGAGAAGCTACAGAAGTTTACTATAAAATCGATCTTGCTAACGAATGCGCTAGGTGTTTACATGTTCCGGCGTGAGACGGCTCATTAATGGGAATATTTGATAATGGAAAGAATCAGTGAGTGGGTCATGTACATAATTGGAGACACCATAAAAATTGAGGAGATGTCTTACTGTAACCAGTGCGATGTCATTCCTCCATCTAGTCGTTGGTCCTCTCTGGAAGTTCTCATGAGGTATAACCGTGGCCACCTCATGTGTCTGACCACCTGAATATTTATCAACGCTTCCTGTGACAACAGTGATATCTTTATTATAAGGAGCTGGATATTTTCCAACGAAGCAGTGAGCTGCAGTCAAAATATGTCGTTCGCTGATGATGGCACCTCCACAAATGTGGAGCCCCTCATACTGGATTGACACCATCCAAGGAAATTCTCCGAGATTTGCATCATTTCCATTCAAAATTTTTTGAGGAGGTTTTGCTGCAGCTAAACAATGAACAAGTATTTTTCATGGACAAAAAAAAGTAAAAATTGACATGTATATGTAGTTTAAAACATTTTTCCTGCTGTATGTTAACTTATAGAAACTCGGTGGAAAAAATGGAATTCTTTACTCTCGAAATCACTAAAGAAATGAATAATGATCGAGATACGCGGTAGCGTATCGGCCAAGAAAAGTTTTGACGCCGACTGTACAAAACATCTGGCTGAGCGCAGCGTGTATCTATATACGATAGAACTTCCCCCTCCACTACCTCTAAATAATCGACATTCGTTATAGCAAAAACGGGACGACAAATCGAAAAATTGTCCTTAGTCATATTATATAAAACGCCTATGTGCTTTTCAACGGTTTAACTATTGTGTTTTTTAGATTCACAGTAAAAAAGATACACGCATAGCACCGTGCTGATATTCACATTCTTGCCATTCACATTATAAAGTCGGAGAATCAAGTTACAATGTTGGCAGCGCCTGTCCAACTGAGTCTCATATCCAATGTCGAATTGTTGCCACAGGTGCATTTAAATGTGGGTTGTCATGTTCTGAAGAATCACGGAATACGTGTTATTCTCACTTCAAATTACTTATTAGAGTGAAACGAAAAATGAATTCAGTGTTCTATTTTTTTCTTTTTTCGAAAATTCGTATTTCTTCTCGGCATATGTATATATCTGGACCTCGGAGATGAAAACAGTCTAGGAGGTTATGGTCTATGTTTGAAATGTAGCAGATCAGCTCTTTGACAAAAATTGTATGATAAACAATTGAATGTCTGTGAATAATTAAATTTTACCACCTAATATGTATTTTTTTTAGAGTGTTGACAGTTTTCACTTTCGTGGGGACAATGGTCTCAATTAGGTTACGGTAAGATGCGAGGAACAAGAAGCCACTTTCGTAATTATTTCAACAACATTCGTGATATTTTTAAAATAAGAAATAAAAACAAAAATAAGAAACATCAAATCAACATTTTTACGAAATTTTTACATCCGAACATTTTGCTCTGTTGTTTCTGAAAGAAAATTAATCCATCTCACCAAAAACTATAATCTCCATAGAAAATCAAATAAAAAATTGAGTGGGAGACGCAAACTAAGTCTAAAATCTGAATAAATGATCAATTGTCGGTAAAAAATATTAATCTCGAGTAGAACTGTTTGTTTTCCTTCAATTAACAATTGAAAGGATGTTCTATCTTGTGAAACACAAATAAGTTGAATTGAAAAGAACAACATCCTTATGATATGAAAATAATTCTGTGTTTATTTTGAAAAAATTAGTGAAATCTCTTTAAAAACATATACAAATGTTTTTGTAAAAAAACTGTGCAAAGAAAATGTTTTGTTTGGTTTTGACTGCAAAATTGAAATTTTTGAAAAATACAAAGAAGTAAAAACGAAAGCCAAGTCAGGAATGCCAAATAAATGGGTATAGGACACAATTATCAGATTTGTATAAAAAAGTTGTTCTCAAGAAAAACAGGATTTTTTAAAAATTCTCCATAAAATCAAAAATCAGTAGAAGCAGGACGTTCTTGGCGCGGTTTTTTTCTACTCACTGTCTATATCAATGTAATCCTCCATCTGCTAATCTGCGCCAAGGATGTTGGTCCTGCTCCTACTGATTTTTTATTTTATAGAGAATTTTTAAAAAACCTGTTTTTCTTGAGAACTATTTTTCTATAGAAATCTGATCGTGTCCTATACCCATTTATTTGACATTCCTGACTTGGCTTTCGTTTTTATTTGTTTATATATTTCAAAAATTTCAATTTTTCAGTAAAAAACAAACAAAACTTTTGCTTGGTAAAGTCATACATGAATCAATTGGTATTTGATGAAAAAATTGGTTAAGTGAATGCAATGATTTTTTCTCTTGATAATATATTATGCATCATGCATTTATCATTGCCAATTCATTTAATAATGGTGTGGCAAATTTTCAAATACGTAAGTGAGCAAGATAGCTCTTTCATCATAATTCGTAGATGCAAAAAAATAAAATGTGTTTAAACCTTCATATTCAGTACTTATTTCCGATCTTATCAATTTTACATTATCTGGAAGTATTGAAAATTCATCGAAAATCAATCAAGGTTGCTTAGGTTGACCCGACTGATACTTACTTCCAATAATTATTGCAGTAAACGTGAAGAACAATAAAGTGAAGGCCATACTTAAGATTCGCAGACTGAGTTCAAATAGAGGACTACACTAAATTCTGCCAAAAAAGTAATCTCGATTTGAGTTGACGAGAGTACGGGTCTAAGTGGGGTTTTGGGTAGAGTGGGGGATATATGGCTTAGATTCCTCCTTTGACAAGAAGTACTTTATATACTTGGCGAGTTCGGTTTGTAGCTAGATTTTATATACATTTCTGGTTGCTAACAGCACATGTATCATGCACTATCAGGTGTGAGTGTTTGCATATATAAGAATGGAGTGTGCTCATTTTCTATGCGAAAGAACCTCCTTTTTAATGACAGTTCAGTCAGCATAGTTGAATATATTGGTTTATTCAGTGATAAAAAACAATAAATGGTAAAAAGAGAATGATTAAAATTACCGGGGATATTTGGCCAATGGAACAAAGAACGACAGATGTTTGCCATGATATGTTGAAATTTCTGAATTTAACTTTGAGTTATGTAACGAACATGTGGGGATGTTCGTTAGGACACGATGCTGCCATCAAAACAACTAACCCGCCCGTGACATAGGAAGGCGACCCGTGAGTAAAAGGTAGCGAGAGAGAGCGTTTCACTTTTCCACCCCGGGGTGGTCAGAAGTCCAGTCGTCGTGACGACCATGAGGTTTGGGGGTTTCAACGCCATGGTGTGGCTAAATTTGTGTTTTAATTCCATAGTATTTTGTTTAATCTCAAGACCGGCATAATTACGCGTTTTTGAGGGCCCATGGAATTATCGCGAAGAAGGGCCAAGTTATCCGATAATTCTTATGGGAGCCACCCTATTGTTAATCCTACGGCAAATCGATTAGGTCCGGCTGAAATGCCGGCGCTCCAAATTATAATGGATTTTACGGTGGTTAGATGGTTACGTTTTAGATTTTCGGTGGAAGGTCACGAGGAACAAGTGCAACCCTTTTATCCCGTGAATTGCCAGGTTGCTTAGAGTTTTGAAAAATTAGGAGAATTAGTAGTATCGGTCTTTTAACCCCGTGAATCCAGGAGAACCGACCCGTAGGAGGCGCCAAAAACCCTTAGTAATTTTCCGAACGCCCACCAGTTCGGCCCAGGTAATCATTAGTCAATTTTATAAAGTTACGTATAAAGAAATTAGAATTGAGTATTTGTCGCGGTTGAATTCCCCAAAAGCCTTTGGTGGCGCCAACAAAGCCAACGCTTGATGTGCCGAAAATCTCCGCCAATCAGAGCCCGTCTCTGTTGGCCGGAATTCGCGCTGCGGTTAGTGCCCGTGACACTGACCCAGGGCAGTTAGTTCCGCGTTGACCGTCGTCGATCGTTAGTCACGTGCGAAATTTTGAGTGTGTCCACGCAACGTAATTGTGCCACGTGGATTATTATACCTTTTGGAGGAGCCGTACTGATCCAGGATGGTCCGAAAAGGGAAGAGGACCTCTAAACACAGGAAGATCGTGACTTTTTAGTTCGGTTTATGTATTTTTCCGAATTCATTTCGGCTTTTAGTTATTCGACTACGGGGTCTTCAGCCCCGTACGTCGCATTTTATTCCGGTAAAACGGTGATTGTGACGCTTAATCCAAATTATGAGGTGCCGATCCCCCCTTTGTTCTACTCATGATTGGGTGGTTTTCGTGATTTTTGGTGGGTTATTCAAGGGGATAATTACTCCCGTTTAATTGCCAGAGCGCGCCCATTCCCGTTATACGTGGGCTTTTGCGCGTAAGAAATTCCACTCGTGTTTGAATTGAGTTGGTTCGCGTAGATAGTTAATTAAAATTAAGGTTTGTGGATCAATGTATTCGGGGGGCTTCCCTGAGTAATTCATCTTAGGGTTTCCGAAAATTCGCTCTGCCGATTTCCGGATATTCCATTTTTGGTTTTTATGGATTTCCAGCCCATTCTCGCTGGCGTGTACGCCGTGTTTCTCGAGGGGGAATTCCCCCCGACTCTCGACTCCCCCTCAGATACTCATCCACGTTTACACGTGGCTATTCTCGCTTCACGCGAGCCTTTTAGCGTTTAGAATTCCGCTCGGGGATTAATGAACCTGGGGCGGCTAATTGTTTAGGAAAAATTATTTTTTTGGTATTGTTGTCTNTGGTTTTGGCTGGTACGAAAAATCGATGGTGGAATACGTTCTCCTCTCTCTCTCTCCCATTGTCGCCCGCATACCTTTTCCCCCAATTCTCGGAATTCTCGAGTATTTAGGGATTAGCGTGTATTTCTACTCTCCCCAAATGTTTATTTCGGCCTATTTGAGGTATTTATCGGTGATATTAATTTCTTCGAATATTTTTGTCAGATTAGACTAATTCCTATCAGAGTGCGGAATTAATATTATGATTATTATTATTATCAGTATTGTTAGTTATTAATTGTAGATTTTTTTCCATTTTTTAAAATATTTTTTTTGAGAGAATTGAAATGTCTTTTTTTGAAAAATTGGTGATTCTCATATTTCAATAGTGAAACACGTAAGAACGATGTTGATTTCTTTTCCTTTTTTTTTTGTAGTTTTGGCCACCCAATACCCGTCTCCACCTGAAATCCATCCCTCTCTCCACAACCTAGCACACTGAGCGAACCCAGGACCGTTACCTTTCCCCAGAAATCTAGTTTTCTCCCTTTTTGTGTAATTTTTTGAGGTTTTGGAATCATTTAGAATTGGTTTTGTAGAATCATCCGGTTTGGTAATTCCGGCTAAAAATTACCTGGCGCCCATAGATTTTTGTATTTTTGAGTTTAACTAGATGAAGGGGAAGAAGGGCGAAGGTAATAGGCATTTTTAACCCCCATACGAAAATGTCACGTTACAGTTAAAACAGATAAGAATTCACATCCGTTACTGATTTTCAATGGGAGTATTGGAAACAATAAATCTTACGAATCTCTTGATTTTCGTTTTTTGGTCGAAGAAATGAAAAATGGATGGTAGAATGATCATAGAACATTTTATTTGAAAATTTTCATAAAACAATTTTGCACATTCGTCGGAATATTCTATGTTTTAGTGAATTTCTGATTTTGTTCTTATTAGACTTCTCTTGAAAATTTTATGATGTTCCACCGATTTTTTATAGAAAAATCCCGCAGTTTTTCTAGGCGTTTTCTCTAGCATGAATGTTGAATACAACGTATTTTATAGAAAAAATCGAGAGAATTTCATTATTCTATACACCTTATTCTATTGAGATATTTTCTATGGAAATTTTTGCGGCCAACATTTGCTAAGGTTGCTAAGGTTGTTGTCAAAAAGTTCGATTTTTTCAAGGAAAGGAGAAGAAAAATGATAGTGAAAGCGACTAGAGTCAAAATTTATGTACAGGAATTTCTATAGAAAATATCGAATTGAAAACATTGAATAGAAATACGCACGAAAGAAATCAATAGAAACATTTAGCGGATTCACTAGACAATTCTATTGAATTCCTATGAAATTTTATACTAGTCTATGGCTGATTCTTTTGGAGTGTTCAAGGAAAATATTCTATAGAACAAACAGTATAGTAATACAGTGTAGTACAGTCGAGCACTAAAATTCGTGAACAGCCGGAACTTGCATTCTATGTATCCTGTTTACGAACTTAGTGCTCGACTGCATATACTGAGAAAAATTTCAATAGTGAATTCAACTATTATACATGAGAATTGTCGAAAGTCCCATGTCACAATTCGAATGTGTAGAAATTACTACATGACGCAAAGTTAATTGAAATATGAAATATTTGATTGGGTTATTACTTCTTTATACAGAGAAACTATGTTTTTACGTTTTAAACATAAGTTTCTTGTTTCTGAAAATCATGGTTTCTCACCTTCATTTGTCTAGAACCTAGAAAATATTGCCGAAATTCTAGAAAAGAATCGTATGAAGTAAGTCGGCAAAATGCCGATTAATTTTAAACCATAATATCCTAAATTTGAGAAAAAATATTTTCCAACATCTAGCATTTTTTTTCATTATAAGTGGGAGAAGGGGGGGGGGGTTATAAGAGTAAAAAATATACAAGGGTGAAAACTGAGGGTCGAGAGGGTCAAGTGTGAGAGTACGGAATGAGCATGAGCTGTGAGGATTAAAAAGGTCACAAAAATAGGCAAAGTTTAGAAACAGGGGTAAAAAAAATGAGGGTCCTAAGCGTCACACGTGAAGGTTTAAAATACGCGTGGACATGAAGAGTCACGCGGTTTGGGCATGATGGTCAGAATTAGCAGTAGAAATAAGGTAAAAACATGAAGGTCAGAAACAAGGATGAAGCTAAGAGTCACGACGGTCAAGTGTGACAGTAAAAAATGAATCAGGTGTGAGTATGAAAATTAAGAGTCACAAGAATGGGAAAATTTTTTACACACATTAATGGGGAAAAGTTTTCATATGGGGAGGGGCGAGGTGTAAAACAGGGATTCTATCACTAGGCGGTTCTATAGTTAAGAGGGAGAGGGAGAGGATATGAAAGAAAAAATTATAGAGGGATTAAAACTGAGGGTCGAGGGTGGAGTGGGAGAGTAAAAAATAAGGATCAGAAAGAAGGATCAATATTGAGGGTCATAAGTTTCAAGTGTGACGGTCTAAAGTACGAGTTAAAACAAAGGGTCACAAGATTTTGGCGTGAGGGTCAGAATTAAAAGCAGAAATAAGATTGAAAAATGAAGGTCAGAATATGATGGTAAAAAAAGTCAGGAGTGAGAGTAAAAAAAAGGGTCACATTTTTTAGTCACATTCTTGTCACCCTTTTTTTTCACCCTCAGACCGAATACATTTTTAATTGTTACATTCGACCTTCGTGACCCATAGCTTTGATCGTTGTTTCTAGCCTTTATTTTTTATCTCTAATTCTACTCTTAATTCTGACTATCACGTTCAAACCTCGTAACCCTTCATTTTGATCCGCAGTTTGGCCCTTCACACTTGCGTCCCCAAGTTATGACGCGTGTTTTTGACTCCCATTTTTGTGACCCTCAGTCTTGATACTTATTTCTGAGTATCATACTTGACTTTCTCACACCTATCTTCAGATCACACTATCTCAAACATGA